AACAACAGCCTTATTTATAATACTAATGTGACCAAAACGGCAATGAAAAATATATACAATTAACAATTAATTACAATTAATATTTTTTAGTTTTAATACTTTTTTTGTTAAAATTAACTTTTTATATCAAATATTATAATTTGTGCAGAACATTAATTAAAACGAGAAAATTAATTTTTTTTTTGTTTACATGTCAGCAAAACATTTTGTTAACACAATTTAAAAAAAAATACAATATGTGTGATTGGTTAAAACAATATAGATAATATATAGAAACATTTTAAAGAATATTTTTAATAAATAATATATTAAGTAATTAATTTTACTGGAGTGATATCAATGCTCCAATATAAGATGTTTAGATTATCGATCGCATTGTGAAGTATTACATCAAATTAATCGATTTATAGGAAACATTTTATTAACGTACATTTTAAACAACACAAAAAGTTAAATTCAATTTTTAAGAAATAATAATTAATACATTTATTAAGTAATTAGATTATATAACAATGATACATACGCCCATACATGCGTGATATGTGAAAATTAAGACATATTAAATTTGTATGCAGAGATAACTTATACACATTTAAATTAAATATACACTATAATATATATATACAACATATATATATAATATACATATGGTGATTGATTGAGTCTAGTATTTTTTATTGTTCAAATTATATATGAAAACCTATTTAAGTAAAAAAAGTTAAAAAATAGTCGTGAAAACCAACTTTAATTACATGGAAGTTTAGATAAAATTTAAAAAATTGAAGTGAAAAAACATAAAAAAAAACATTTATTATTTTAATAAAAATCTCTTATATGAAATATATGCTAATCAAAATTATGTGCATATATAAAAAAAAGTAATATCTCTGAATCTCTTAGCAAGACAATTACTTCATATATTGTACGTCCGCAATCAAGATTGCGTAAAAGAGATGTGCCAACTTATTTACAAATAAGTAATAAATAATGAAATATTATATTAATAATATCTATAAATAATTTCAAGTAGTTATAAATGTTATATACGAATATATTGTCGGTTAAATTTCTGTAATTATTGTGAGTAAATGCAGTAATTAATACAGAAGAACTTTTAGAATGCACTTACTTTGAAGTTACTTACTAGTACTAACACTGTATATTTAATGATTGATATGTGTATAAGCTATAGAGTCCTAAGACGAACATATGATAAAAATATAAATTCTGCCCATTCTTTTTTATTAAATTATAAAAATGATAATAATTTGCTTAGTCAAAGATTGTAATTATTTATTTATGATAAAGTTTATGTTTACTTTATAATTAAGTATTTTGTATTTGCAACGATAAATAATCTCTGATTAATTAATTTAATGATAAATAATTTAATGAATGAAAATAATTTTTTTCTAATGCACTGTAGTTTGTAGTAGTTTGCTTTAACTTATTATTTTAATAATATACAACAGGTTTTGTGTTATATGGTTATATGTTGTTTTTTATATATTACTCGTAGGTAAATATTAATAAATAATTAACATTGCATTAACATTATAACATCTTTCTTATGTACTTTTATTTTATTTAAAGCATCATTAGAGTTTACTGTTTTCATACTCTGTAGTACTGGGAGTAGCAGTATTAGAAGAATTAGTAGAATTAGTAGTATTAGTAGAATTAGTAGAATTAGTTGTAGTATTTGTTGCTTGAGTAGGAGTAGTGGTAGTAGTAGTAGTAGAAGTAGTTATAGGAGTGTCTATTAGTGTTGGACTAAATTGTAAGATTTTACTAGGCCTGCGTCCAGTTACTATAAGTCTGGAAAGTATATATACATAAGTTAGTTTATTCTTCGGGAAATAATAATACAGTTACATACATGATAAAAAATTTGAAAATTAATGAGTTTAAAGAGTTTATCTTCTAAGCTATGAATAAAGGTATTAGGTTGAAGTGCGTGAAAATAAATATAACATAGTGTGATATTTTTTAAAAATTTATATCAGCAGTGTACTTGATTGAGTTCATTAAGAGTTGAAAAACGCAAAAGCTAAGGAAGTATTTCATTCATTTGTAAAAAGGTATTATTTATTTTTTAATCTCAAATATATGTATATGTTTTATATATGTTTTAGATTAAGAATAACTATTTTTTCTTAAAATTGTGCTTCTTTTTGTTGTAATTTTGATGACGTCATTCTAACAAATTTTTGAAGTGTATTTATATAATTTATATAAGACGGGACAAGTGTTTTAGACAATTCACATTTGCATGCGGGTGATAATTGATAGCTTTTTTAAATAATATTTAATAGTAAAAATAAATAATTCTATATAGACTTTCACAGAAACTCTGGTAAAAATGTTACATAAAATGAATATAAAAAATTATTAGAATAAACATGCACATTAACATAGTATGTACAAAAATAGTTATACGTTTATACTTTTCATGGAGTTAACGAAACACCAGCACAACACATACTTAAGCAACATATAGATTATTGACCAATATTAATATCAATAAAGTTATACAAAATATATAATAAATAAGCAAAATACGAAAAAGTTAAAAATAAAAATTTAATATATATTTTAAATTAATTTATTAATTATTAAGGATATTATATAATACTTTTGAAGATAATATTCAAATTGTAGTTGCACTATATTCAAATTACATTAATTATACTTAAAATGTAATTGCTGTAAAATCAAATTTTGCGTAATTGATATTAATCAATACTATTTTTAATTAATTAATTTTTGTTTTTAAAACTATGAATTATTTGTATAATCCAGTGTCTAATTCTTCGAAATAAAATTTATTAATAAAATATATTGAGGTGCTCACGAAATCCTAAAATATGACTTGGTATAATAATCAATCTACTGGGAGTATTGGATATATTCTTATTTCCTAACATATGATTATATATATATTATTTATATACATATAAACTAATAAAAATTTTTAATAAGATGTCGCATATTTTTAATCTCTGGAAACTTATTCAATATATTTATAAAATTAAGAAGTCGAATTTATTTTTTGGTCATAAATTGTTATAAAATACGAGAGTATAACCAGATTTATGAAACCCATATTTGAAAATTATTAATCTTACAAAATGTTCATTATAGGCTTATAGAACCCATCTGTGCTGAGTATAAAACGCTTTCAATGGGTTATATAGAAACTTTGAAATTTACTTTTAGTTATAGAACATTTTTTTTACATGTTATAGTATTGAAAAAGTACTCGTTATTAGTGTAAGTGCAGGGGAATATATATTATATTTTTATTTAAAATATAAAAGCAAAGTTAAATCGGAATAGTGATATAGTAAATATATATATAGTAAATCAGTACAGCTAAATCGAATTTAAAGAACAAATTAAATTTTAAATACAGGATGCTTAAAGCTAACTCTAATAAAAGTCTTATGAACCTTACCTAATCTTCTTTTAGTTAAATTAGTAGTTTTTATCTGTACTGCCAAAGTAAAATTCAGATTAAACTGCATACAAAAATGGAAACCACACCCAATACACTCTACTACCATTCTTAAGAAAGTGGAAAATATCTCATAAGATTTCAACTATTTCATAAAACAATCAAATAAAATGTTGCAAATAATTATTTCGATATATACCTAAGGTTAATATAACATTTATGCATATAAATATTATAGTTTCATTCTATGTAATTTGTAGAATAACTCGTCGGGAGTCTCGAAGAACTATCAGAAACTTATATGGATTCATTCCAAAATTCAGAAAATCTCAGAAAAAACATAACTGTTGATTAAAATGATGAATCAGGAATAAACCCATCAACCTTATAGGAACGCAATGGACTTATAGGGGGAGGTCTTCGTGTAGCTTGGCATACAGATTTATCACCATAGATTGGTTTTAAGAACAGCCGGGTCTACGTCCCGGAGCCATTCGTCGAAGACGATTAAGCGCCGTTCAACACCACCCAAAGGGATTTCAGAAGCAGATTTCAGTGGGTTACAACAACAACCACCATAGATTTGGGAGAGCCGTTTATTGCACACAATGGATTTTAAAGGAAAAAAACTCGTAGTAAGAAATTAACTTAATACTAAGTAAAAATTTTTTTATTGTCATATTTGTAGGGTCAGGGATTTTCAAAACCGAGGAAAATATTTCATTATTACAAAAACAAAAAATAAAATATTTGTTGAAGTAATTTTGTTATTTGCATGGTGCAGTCCTAGGCAAGGTTGTATAATGGAATGGAAGTAGATTGTTTATAATTTATTTTGTTTATTTTTAGTTTCTTTTTAATTTGTGTTATTATGATAAATAAATTTTGTATCGCGTAAAACTTCGAAAGATGACCTTTATCAATATTAAAACTATGTCTTAAATTCTGCAGTATCAAAAATTAAATAATAAATTAAAATAATAATCAACTGAAATCTATTAAAAAAAGTTTTCAAAATTAAATATTACAAAAAATATACACATATAACAAAAAGTAATTTGAATACAGTGTACTGTACATTTTAAAAACTATTTCGGATAATTGAGCTTGTAATATCAAAAGTTATTAGTTATTTTTTAGTAATATTTAAAAATTCAAAACTAAGAAAAAATAATTATAATATAGTATATGTTGATTGAATTATTATAATATGCAAGTTTGAAAACAAATAAAATTAATATATATATATAAATTAAACTAGGAACTAATATTATGTTATAATGAAATGTTTTAGCCAAATTGGAACTACGTAAGCATAAAATAATTTTAATGAAAAATAACAAACATCGAATAAATAATTAATTAATTAATTAGTTTATTAATTATTTATTATAAAATAAGTATTAAATAAAATTCAGATAAATACAATAAAAAGTACAAATATCCAAAAAAAAAAAAAAGTTTTTTTAAAATTAAAAAAAAATCAAGTTTGTTTAGGCAAAAAGTGTAAATATGTTAGGTATAAATTTTTGTTTAAACTTACCCGCTCAACTCTAACATGGAACCACGTCTCACATTACGGCGATGACTTGCTGTAACTGGGAATGGACCAGAATGACCCTCACCGCTGGTGACCGATATAGATTGTGAGCGTTTATCCAGACGAGGATTTGACGTTTGGCTTGAAGGCACAATTAAGCTGCTTAACGCAGCAGCCAACGCTGGATCAGAGCCGCGAGCTGAACCAGCGTCAATAGCATCACTGATTGCACTGCCAGTAATACTGGTGCCGCCTTTTGAGCCGGAACTTTCTCGACGGAAAAGACCTATGACGGACTTGGGCTGTTTAGGTTTGTTTATGCCACCTTTTAAATTTAAATTTTTGTTTTTGTTTTTTACGCATGGTGGGTGAATACGATTTAAGTTGTGATTGTAATTTTTGTTTCATTCATTGATGTAGTATGTAAATTTCATATTTCATTATTGTTTTTAATTTTTTTTTTGTTAGTGTATATATTGAGCATGATTAATGTTTGTCGAATTAAGATTTGCACATTTTGTTATTACAAAAAATACATTCAATTGCGTGAGATAAATAGGTGGAATGTGAACAAGATAGATAGTACAAAACGGGATTGTTACAGTTCCAAACAAGTGATGGTAGGCCAAAAAAGAAAAAATCGAAAAAATATAATTAAAATAAAATACAAAAGTAAAATTATTTATATATACATTTATATATTGTTATATAAATATATAAGTATATATATATTTTTATGTATAAACATAAATATTGTGATAGAGTCGGTTCATTGCTTTATACAAATATCATTTCTATATATAACTAGTAGTGCTGTAAGCAAAACAAAAAAATTTGTTATTTGTTCTGATTACATTACATTAATATACATTCAGAATCTAAACACACATTTTTTTATTACATATATATAAGTATTAATGAAACTTAAAAAAATATTTATATAAAAAGCAGACAACTGAAAAAATATTAATATCTTAAAACAATAATATATAAAATTAATAAAAATATATAGGAACAAAAGTTTTAATAAATTTGTTTTTTTTTTTTGAGATTATTTTATAATAGTTTTCATGCATTGATTAGTTCACACAGTTTAAAAAATAGTCAAAGAAAACTGATTTTTCAATGTTTTAGAGCCAAGATATGGGAGGAAAACTTCAAACTTCAATTATTATAGCGGAAGTATCAAAAATGTATATCAAAACTAAAATAGTCACAATTATATTAAATAGTAACAATTACCAATAAACTCAGAATTTCTTTTTTTTGATATAAACTTGCTGATAATACAAATTGCAACAGCAAATTTGCTTAATAGGGTACTTAATAAGGTTATTGGAGATTTATAAAAGGCATGGACAAGTATCAATACATTTTTTTGCGTATTTTGATATATAGTGTAGGCGGTTTTTTTTATCTACATGAGAACTTAAAATAATAATATAAGACAGAAATATTGTTGGAATGAAAAATCTGGTACATAATTTTGTGGCATTTATTTTTTGAAAACGATTTGCGGCATATGTCGGAAATATTCGCGGCTATGAGTTACATGGTCCATTCGATCAGTCCAATTTTTGACTATTTTTTGCAATAGTTGTGACCGTATGGTGACAATGGTGGCGTAAACATTCCAATGTTCCAATGCTTTAGGAGTTGCTGGTTGTCGGTAGTTGTTGGTATAAACCAATGCAAACTTAACCTAGCCCCATAAAAAGTAATCGAAAGGCGTTAAATAGCACGAACAAGGGGACCAGTCAACAGACCTACTCCTGGAAATAAAGTTATTACCAAATTGATTTCGCAATAAATCGATTGTTAAACGCGCTGTATGGGAAGTTGGCTGGTTTGTGGGAACTGGAACCAAATGTCATCAAGGATTAACTGATTCATTTTTAGAAATTGCTGACAAAAATTCAGTCAGCATGGTTCGATAGGTCTCGCAATTCACCGTAATGGAGGCTACTTTCTTATTTTGAAATAAATAAAGATCGACGATGCCGCCAATATATATATATATAAATATAAGTAGTCAATTTTAATGGATGTAATGGTGATTCGTTAACGGCTTGAGGATTATTTTCGCTCTATAACGATCAATATTTGTACGAAGTGCTTGCTCACTAGGTCGATTATGTTGATCGTAAAATAGACGAAGTTCTCTATTAACTTCGCGAACAGATTTATTTTTTTCAAAGTAAATTTGCACAATTTGGAAGCGTTGTTCTAGCGTTGTTCTAGCTTTATGAATCTTTTAACGATTCATTATAAATTCAAATCATAGTTATCGATAGTGATAGTTTTCATGCAGCAATATATACATATTTATATTTATATAATATATGTGTAATATAATTCTTTATTTTGATTATGATTGTCAGGACTTGTGATTTATTGAATTGGAAATTACCGAATTGGAAAAAAGGTTCAAAGATTTTTTTTGTTTGTGAGAGAGAACTAGGCTTTTAAAAACTATATAAAAGTGAACATTTTTTTTATGTATACAATAACGCGAGACAAGACTATTACTATATATGAAAGCATAAAATGTTGTAGAATTTTATATTAGTATTAACTCATTCGTTTGCTATCAATTAATGTGAAAAATCATGTTCTATTTTATAATCAATTAAATGCTTGATGCATTGTTATTGGTGCGTTACTAAGTTGTACATTATAAAACATAATCTCTATAGTTTTTTTAATAACATTGGTTTGAATAAATTTTTAAATACATTTTTGATACCTCCATTTTAGATTATAGAATTTTGAATAGACAACCTATTCGTTTCGATACGTAGATAATAAAAAGTGATTTAATATAGATTAACATGCTAGAGCTTGAAACATGTCATTTAAACTTTTGTTTGCAGTTAGCAACATTGTATATATGTTATGAATGATTTTATGGTGTCTTCAATGACTGAAGTTTTTATAAATTAAAATATGTTTAAAAATTTATTATATTTTATTATAAATATATATACTCGTCGTATTTTTTTTCTAGTAAATTGAAGATTTCTTAAGCAGTTTTGTATATAGAAATTTAATTATAATTATGAAGTGCACATTCATTACTTACCTAAGAAAGTAGCGCTCGGTGAATTATACGCCAAATATTCCTTATTGGAAGCCCAGGCAGGGAATTCGTTTTGTTGCACAGCATCGGATATCTCATCACCTTGTCGTTTCCATGGCAATTGCGACTCAGTTGCAGTTGGTGTAGCTACGCGTCGCTCACCATCAGAATCTCTGGACAGATTACGATCTTCCTCTGGAATTGGGTTTTCGGCGACTACGTTTATGTAATAACGATGTGAGTTTTGGAAAAAGTTTTTATTAATTTAATTAATAATTATTTTTTAGATAAGTGCACAACTATGTACAACTAAAGATTGTAAGTTCATATTTTTTGTATAATATATTATCTAAAAATTTAAAATAATATTAAATAAATGTGCGGCAGCAACATGCTATGCGCTTTAAGTTAGTACATTTTTTATTTTATTAGAAACAAATCAGTTTAAAATGTGGTTATGTGCAAATATTATTTGATAAGGACATATCAAGATCAAGCGAAAAGGATTTCGGATGGGCACATTTGCATTTTGAGGTAGGCATTTAGACTTAAATACGTATAATAACCACTTTATAAACTGTAAGCACTTTTTGCTTAAATTTTACTAAGATAACTCAAATGTGCTAAAGTAACACAAAACATTTTTCAAATAAATTCAATAAAATACACTTAAAAAATAAAATAAGGAAACACTTAAATAATCAAAATGAATTCTTAGGAGCAAAAAATACAATATTGTCATGCACAAAAATGCCATGCTTGCGTTAACATTTTTTTTATTAAATGCTTAAATTTAGTTAAAGTAATAATAAATTTAGTTAATTTAATTTTTTTCTTTTAACTAAGTAATGAGTATGAATGCCTTAATATTTATAATATATAATTTAAATCTTGATAAGCAATAATTGAATATCTCAAATAGAGATTGATTTGTATATTACAAAATTATGTAAAACTTTGATATTAAATGGACGGCAAAAATCCATCTACTGAACCCTCCACGAGGGAGCCGTCTGAAAATGTGTCACACAGTATTCTCGTCCTGTACATTGTCAGCTAAGATTTAGAAGCATTGAGTGAGTGCCTTTAGCTCTTCAATGGCTGCGCAACATTCTTTGCTTTTTGATCATGGTATGAAGGTCCCTTTAACCCGAAAGTGTCACGAGATCCGTGCTAACCGGGCGTATGTTTGCAGTCAAGGGGTTTGTTCGACTGTACTTTTGTGCAGCCTCTCCAATACGTGACCACATTTACATGGGGAGTAAGTGTGGTCTAGCCATGTTATGGGACGCTGTTATGGTCCATGTTACGCTTATGCACATGATATGAATTCTTCCGATACTGTCCGATACGGAACTCGTGGTTGGAGAGTATAAACCCACTAAACTTACGGACGCCGAATTATTGAAATCAGATGACGAGATCGTTGCTAATTCTAATAGCGTTTGTACCAGTAACAGTACACCGGAGTCTATTTCAAATCTATTATCATCCAAAACATGTCAGTCTCAGGAGTAAGGGCACGAAAAAATCACTATCAGCGGGCGCTTCTGATGCTCAAGAAGATCGAAAGCAACAAAAAGGAAGGCAAGGTCCATGAACAAGCTGAAGCCAGGCCATTGGAGAGGACTATCTTCATGATGAGGGTCTGCGCTAATCTGTTATTACAGGCAAGTACATCGGAGATGGCGGTAAGCGTAACAAATCTTTAGAAGATGCCGGCATTAGATTATTCATTTAAGTAGAATTTTATGTATTTTTGTTTAATCAATTTAATTATTCATTAGTTAACTTCTTAACACCTAATCAAAAAGTTAACTATTTTATAAAAATGAGATAAGTTAAATAAAAGAAATTTAAAACTCTTTATTTATTAAGTAACTAGTAACATTTTCATCAACTACTAAAACTTATTTAGGAACATTTAAAACTAATTTACCAACATTTGCTTATAGCGTTTATAAGAAAAAAACTGGGCAGGAAACAATATTCGTGAGCGTCCAAATGTTGGTTTTCACATCCGTCAGATTTTTACAATATACAAGGAAGTTGAAGCATATAGGTAGCTCTCTATTCTATATATGTAGTAAATGAAAATGTAGTGAATTTGGGTATGAACTACTTCAGGCATGTAATACAGTGAAATTGCCTTTTATTGAACACCAACGGGATCAATAATTCGGTTCAGTTTAGAGAAGCGGCCGTTTCAAAGAACGTACTTTATATGAAACATGAAAACTGGAACCTGACTACATGGTACGGTTTAAAGAGTTCTTTTTTAAAGAGGCTGAACATTACAACGTTTTTTCTGAAATGCATATAAACATTATGAGAGCATGTGTTCTTACAAATGCCATTTATGCTTATTTTATGTTGCTTGATACTCATTACTGACGCTAGTCAGTAAATAGGCTTGTGAGAGAGTAAAGGCTGAGCATGAGAGAGTAAGATTTACATGCGTTCTTCTGTTCTTTATAAGCATTTTGTTTTTATAAATTGCACGCAGTTACTTAATTTAACTGTCATAAGTTTTGGCAGTAAATCTTAATTCAGAATTATACGAAACTATTTTAAATTGTAACCTAGGACATTTAACTTTTTTGTACTCCTTATTGCGAATCTATACGAAACAGTACAACTACTAGTTCCATTGCAATAAATGGATGATATATATGTATATGTATATAGAAGATAATTAAAATAAAGAAATATAATGTCCATAATTATTGGTAAGCGTAAGAGTAAGTTTATCTTACTTTTAGATATCCTATAATATAAAAAATGCTATCTATATATAATGTAGACTATCTATAGCAGCATTGTTATATAAATAAAATATTAAGCGCATTATTTTATTAAGTTCTTCAAATAATATATATTTTTACAAAGCGATGTGACATGTAAATTTCTTAAAAAAACATTATTTTGGTTTCAAGTCCAAAACATAGGAAGTTGACGATTCATATGAAGAAGAGCTATAATTCACATCAATTGCAACAATTACATCAGAAATTGTCGCAAAGGAATGGCTTTGTTTTTGAAGCCAGTTTGATTCAAAAATTGGCTAAAATATGTTAATGTGTATATTTTTTTTTGTCGGAGATACAAAAGGAATTTTATTTTAAGAATATCTTCAAAATGTTAAAACAATAAATTCAAATTATTAGTCTTTATAATTTAGACCAACTGAATAAAAAAATGTTTCAAAAAAATAACTTTTTTTCTTTCTTATAGAAAGAAAATAAATCTTCTTTTAAGACAATGCATAATAATGATAGCAATAAGCCATAATATTGAATTACGAATTCTTAATTTAGTAAATCTTAAGAAGGACCACTAACCTAATTAATTATATAATTTGGAGGATTCATGGAATAACTGTATTGCAGTTGAAAGAGATTCTATAGTAAAACGAAGCAACCTAGTGGTTCTTATAATAATAATATATTAATATATAAATTTTAAAAAATGATAGTGTATCTTAGCGAATGGCAATTTTACAAAAAGTGCGTCCTCAGCTTAAATAAATTAACAAAATTTTTAAAATTTCAAAGAAGCGTTGATATAGTAAAAGAGTTTGAAATATATTTATCTTCAAATATATTATAGATAAGATCGTAAGTTCGGTAAGAAAAGGAGCAACATTAGAGTTGGAAAAAATGCGTTAAAGCTCACTATAAAATAAATTAAAAAATAGTGCTCTTTTTATTGTATTTTTCATATTATGTTGGAAACTAAAATTTGGAGATATCTAGGAACTACACTTGGACAATATTTATAAATTGAAATGATATTTGGTAATTAAAACACCAATAAAATTTAATAAATATATTGATACCAGAGTTTTAAATATTATTAGAGTTGATCGAAGATCCGAGTATTTTGATGTTAAAGTACCATATGCTTTCGAGCATATGGCTTGAGCACAGTGGGTCATTGGGCTCAGACACCTTAGTGCACGAATACTGTGATTCATTAATTTATATATAATGTAAAATATTTTTAATATTTTAATTACTATAAAAGCAATTCTTGCTTGTATACTAAAACCACATTAAGTATGTTAAACCGAATTGTTTTGAACAAAAGCAAATTTGGAATGATAATACAGATAACAAGCGAAGTCATTGAATTTATTATAAGACTACAACTAAAACATTTTACAATTATTAACATTTGAAACAATAAACATTATAAAATTTTAATACGTATAACTTTTTAGAACAACTATTAGCTTAAAATATTAAACACAGAAAAAAAATTAAAAAGCAAAAAAATTGTTTTACAACATTGACCTTTTAATATAACATATTTAATAAAAAATAAATGCAATATGTAAAGAAAGCTTGAATAAAATAATAGTAATACTAAAAGCAAATATGAAACATCTAAATATACAGAGAGGGCAGTTTCTCTAAAGGTACTACTATATCAATTCAAGTGAATATGAGAGTATTCTTTTGGATGAACAGCGATTTGATGATCATGGCATTGAAAAATGTGTAAACGTTTATGTAAAACTTTGCACTATGAAGTTAGTAACTTCTCTTACAATTCGCTTGTGTGGTTGCTAATATCTTCGCTTTTTTCCGTGTAGAAGGATATCAAGTGAGTTGGAGCACTAACCGTGCTGAAATTGTGATAACTTGCACAATAGGTTTTCCAACAGCAAGTTGGGTCTGTTGTCGTATCTTGCAGTTGTAGAGTTTTTATAAAGTGAGTTTCTCTCAAAAATAATACGATTCGTCACTACTGGACTTTTTATGGAGTTACATAAGCAATCGTTCCACGTGAGCAATCTTTAAAGTGTCGACGATTTGAAAACAAACATCGGTCATGTCAAAGTTAAGCTATTGTCAGGTATGGACCAACAAGTCATTGAAAACTTGCTTAAAAATATCCAGTAAGATACTGTAAGATGCAATGGCATATCCATTGTTATGCTATATTTCACACCTAATATTTTCACATCTAAAAAATATATTGCAAAAAAATTTTTTCTTTCGGAACCACAAAATGCATAATCCTCTATTATCATCAACTTGGCGGCTAATTGGCGGCAGCTGGTTTACAATTATATAAATGGGGGAAGGTGAAGTTATTGTTAGTCAATTTTGATAAAATTAATTTTATCGATCTATGTAATCAAGAAATATAATTGTAGCAAAAGCGGTGGATATCGTCTGTATTTCAGCAAAAAGTGATAATATTGTAAAGGCAGAAATTTTGCATATATATATAAAAACATCTGACTTAATTAAGCTGAGTTTAACACATTTCTAACTATTGCCGGGTTTGCGCGGTATTTTTATCAAATCAAAATGTGGTTTTTAATTGTTTTACATACACTATATTGAAAATATTAAAAGAACGTCCGAGAGATGTCACTGAATCACTAACAGTCATAATGTCATAATTTCGTTTGATTATTGCCATTTTATAAATTTCATTTTTTTTTATAATAGAGTTTCAGTAACGACTTATTCGCATTATGTATGCATTATGTATTTAATATTTTCATTTGATTTCCATTTAAATTAAATACTTGAATTTTACATCGAATTATAAAAGATCTGTTATATAGCTTTTAAATTTAAGAGAATATTTGCAGTATAAAGTTGATAAAAAAATATAAAAATTAGCTTAATACATAAAAGAGATCTACATATTCTAAAGATATTATATTGCGTCAGACATGAAATGAGTCAAAATAGTAAAATTCAATGAGAAGAATTGTGTAGATAAGTACAGAGAGAGTAGATGTAATGACGATATTATCTTTTATATTCAATGCTGTAACCTATTCTAATAAAGTGGGTGAAAATTATTAAAATAAATTGAATTATTTGGTTGTACCAGATTACTAGATTATCATATCTACGTGATATAAATATCAGCTAAATAAGGAAAAAAGGATTTAAAGCAAAGTGTGAATTAAAAAAAATGTATATGTTATATACATAAAATATATTAAAAATGTAACTTATATGGAAAAAAACCAAAAATAAGCATCAAAGTTTCTATAAAAAGATGTTTAAAGATTGAGAAAAAATAACTGTTAAGTTTTTTTACACAATAGGTGCACAGATCGTTCCGATTTTTGTATAAAACTATATTTTTGTAACGTTACTTTTGCTTCACTACTTTCGCAACTAAATAATGTTTTGCTTTATTGTAATTTATATTTTAGATAGTAGCATAAGTTGTTTTTGTTTTTATAAAATTTACCAATGCTCTGGTATGAACGATCCCTGCGCCAAGGCAGTATTAGTTCCGCCGCTGTCGGCCCAATATCGGGTGTTAATAGATTTTCTGGGCTGCCATCACTTTTTGTGGCATAATGTTGCACAATTCTCGCTTTGGAGGCATCAAAACCGGGTAGGCTTTGTATATGTGCTATCAATGAATTGTTATTCGCACGATCCGAATCCGCTGGTGCGTATGAGTAATTATGAGTTTGAAATTCATTTGTGTGAAGAATTATTTATTTTCATTTATTTATGTAGCGATTTTGATGTTATTCATTTTATTTTTATTTAAAGAAAAAAGGTTAAAATTAAAATAAAATTTGTGCCAAAAAATAAAAATAATAAAAGTTCAATAACGTCTATTATCCGCTTTTTTTTTAAATTTATATTAAATTAAATAGTTTTATATAAATATATACAAAACGTATTAACAAATATTTTAATGCAAATTCATTTTAGAATTTAATCATTTTATAAAGTTATAAAGTTATAATAATTAAAGTTCATAATTTTTAACGGCATACTCATTGTTGCGTAAAAAAATTAAAAAACAATACTGCTATTATTTACTGGATGTTATAATAAATTTATAATACTAATAAATATACTACTTGATTTTTACTGTGCTAATGAGTAGTCTCTGTGAAAATCATATTAGAATTTGAAGAACAAGTTCAAAAAAATATGCTCCAAATAAAACAGTCTCAGCATTTAATATTACAATATTTAATATAATAGTTTCAAGAGGTGATAACATAAGTTATAACAGAAATTATTATTCGCTCAGCATTAACAATTTATTATAAATAATATTTAATGATAGTTGCAATGCTTTGTCGTATTCTATATGTCGGACTTAACGTGATTATTCGATTGGAACAGTGATAGGCCAAACGGAGGCGCATCAAACGTCATTCTATTTACATTGCTTCAAAACAGAGTAACAGTTTTGATTTCTATTGTTTACTTTTTTGCAATTTTATAAATTCTATTAAAATATATTAAAGTACTTCTGTACAGTAATGACAAAAAAATATATGAAATTAGGTCATTATGTATTAACTATATCGTATATATGGTATATATATTACAGGAAAGAGTGATAGATCAATTAGGCTAACATCAGTGAATGTAATTAGATGTTTTTAACAATAACATTATTAACATTATCAATGCATGTAGCACATATTTTTTATATATTTGTCACACCCTAACCTCAGGTAAATAATAGTTAAAGTAATATTGAGTAGATGCCAAAGTTTTTATTTATATGAAGGATTTAGGCAATGATCATTAAAATAAAAAAAAACTCTGAGAGAACCTTTCAAAGTTTTGCGAAAAAGAATTCAACTAACATCAAGATTCAGTTTCAACATTGGTTTGACTATTGAGAATATCAATAGTCAAACACTATAGAACACTGCCACTACATTTACATGTCAATATCTCCAACAACAATCAAACATATTTAGGAAGAAATGATTACCCAATGGACCTTGTAAACAATATAAAGTATTACATCAAACAATTAGAGAGAACCATTGTCCCATATGTTATGTGCATGCAAATATCAGTATTTGATTGGTTTTATAGTCAGGACGTATGGGACATTAGTTTGAGTCTTTTTATATACTCACAAAAACTCCTACAAATAAAGTTATTAAAAAATAATATATGCTAATATATGCTAATAATATCTTACCGGCAAGATAAGGCAAGCAAAAGAATTTTTTATCTTTTAATTTTTTTTTTTATCAAAAAAGACTGCTTCATGTTAAAAAGTGTGTATTTATCTGCATAAGTTTCAAAACAAATTGCTAAAAAGTTTTCATACCTTTCTACTTCCATACTATTTGTCACTTTCTAGCGTGAGGATACATATTTTCAACTATGTAGTTGCAGATTTTTTAAACATGTAATAAATTGTATGAAAAGAATAACATACGAAAAATTTATACCGATTGTAAAATATAGATTTAGATAGCAATATCTTATAAGGTTAGGTTTAAATAGCAATCCTAAGCACCTACTTCGGCCTATTGTCATGTTATATTTTCATATAAACCGTTTAATAAAGCGTTAAATGCTATTTAAGAAGAATTTAAGCAGCTAGTTAAGACCTATGATCTCTTACGCGTTGACGACGAGTATCGAATTAGATGGAACAATAAGGTGTATGAGCTATAACCGCGACATTGACATAGTTAAGCGCTTAAAAATTCAGTGACTTCGCTAGCTTGGTCATGTCGTGCGAATGGAAGAAAGTGTTCCGGCTAGAAAGGTGTTTGATTCGATACCCGCAGGTGGAAAACGCGGTAGAGGACATCCGCATCTTCGGTGGAAGGATCAGTGGTGACAGCAAGCAACTAACCGGGCTGGTGGGCGGAGGGTACTTGATGCAGCCAAGAACGACTCACGTCTGTAATGGCCAACTAAGTAAGTAATTAAGATCCTATGAAAAGTAAATTCTTAGAATGTTTAATAGTCAAAAAATATTATGTATACTTCTAGCTTAGGTACTATTCACTAAGGTTAAATAAAAGTGATTTTCTTCTACTTATATTTGAATTTGGTTACAAGGCTTATATAAATATTTCAGGAAGTAATACCAAAATGTTTTCCAAAGATTTGTACCTATTAATATTGCACTGCAGGTGTTTTGGAGATTTTCACAGAGTTCATTAAGGAGTTCTATAAACTTTCATATAAATGATTTAGAAGATTTAGAAAATTTTGAATAAAAATATTAACAAAACTATGGCATTTTTGTGTATTATTTCACAATTTTAATATCAATTATAAATACAAACCCAATACAAAAGGAATATAAAATGAAAATCAATAAAATTTTGATAACTCTTTTATTATATAGATCTAATATTAAGAAATTCATACATAAAAACTGAAAACTCAAAGCAAAACTGAAATAAAAGTAATAGAATAAAATTTAAAAACAAAAACAAATAAAAATAGTAAAAAAATTTTTTTTTTAATTGAACCCGTTTTTGTTAAAAAGTATTCATTTTTTTGTTATTTAATAATTTTATTAAAAAAACTGTTAACTTAAAAAATTAAAAATAATACTTTAAAAAGATCTAAATTATATAAAATATAGGATAGTAAAGAGAAAATAAGTGGGACTTACGTGATGACTTTGCTGTAAATGTTAAACCATCATCCCAATCATCATTGGCGGCCATAACGGTAACTTCGGTAAGTTTAGGTTGGTTCTCTTCTGCCGATTCATTGAGGACTTCGTTAATATAATCTTGTTTATTTTATATATACATATATACACATACATATTGTAAGATTTCAAAGCGATTATGTGCGCGTTTTGTGTGACGTTTAATGTGTGTTTATGTGTATGCATGTATCAGTACATGTATTCATTTGTGTGCGTTTGTGTGTAAGTGAGAAAGATATAGAGAAAAGATAAAAAGAGAAAAAGGCAAAAAACAATTTTTTTTGGGGAAAAAAGAAATAAAAGCAAAAAAATAAAAAAAAAATTTTATGAGATATGTTTTATAAGATTAAAAAATTTTAATTTTTAATTTTGAAAATTTTATAATTCTAAAACCTGAAACTCTGAAAATTTAAATTAGACAAAAATTTTATTTCGCACGCTTGTAATACCTATAATATTACCTATATAAGATATTATACATCACTACCCAACATAGACCCTAATATTCTGTTATGTCGCAAAATTGGTTACAGTTAAACAATTGATTCAAACATAAAAACAACATATATTATAATGTACGTGTATATTTAAATCTAAAGATCAATCGGTGGTACCATCATATTATTTCAATTTCAGTAAAATCATTATAAATAAAGATCTTTATAAAGTATAAAGATCTTTTTAAAATACTGCAGTCTCAGCCACATCTAACCTACTTATTAAAATTTTAGTCATTTACATTAAATTATAGTTTTTTTCTTATAACATTAAAAATTATTTCTATATATTACTAGTTAATAGATTTTAGTTTTCTAATGATCAATATAAAATAAAATAAAAATTGTATTAAAATAATTGTCACCAAAGATTCATCTGCTTTTAAATTAATTAATGTTTACTAACTTTATATATTTATAAGGGATCAGATAAAAAACGTCTTGAATATTTTAAAAAGCCATTATGAATCTAATCAAATTCTAATATTCAAATATAAAACTGTATTGACGTAATCAAATTGTTTGGAAATAAAAATATATATTTAATAATTCTCTTCAAGTATATATTTATTGCAACAGATTATAGTAACTAGTTTTGAACTATTAACAAAAATGGCACGATTTCAATTTCCTGGGCGCCCCATCTAAATATGTATTTTAATTATTCGAAATATTTTTTTATCACGCTTATGTCGATATGTTTTGATTCTCGAGATATCGTGCTTTAACGCCACAAATCTTTACTTAAGATAATAATAATAATAATAATAATAATAAGTAAATCGATGTAAAATTTGTATACGCCAATTATTGCTAGAAAGCGTATGTAATAAGTAATTACAACTTTAAGGTTTGATTTCTTGAGAACTAACCTATTTAGGTTAAGCGTACTGAAAAAAGTTGTTTAGAATGTTAAAATTGATTAAAATATGTACGTAATTTAATCACAAAGCCCAGAAAATTATAAAATTTCTATTTAAACTAATTCAAATTGTTCTATATCTAATTCTATAATAAATTAAAATTATGAGGTCGGACATTGCATGGCTTTATATAGGAAAGTTATGGAATGTAGCTGATTTGAGCGAGATATGAAGTATTATGACTTTAAGGATAAGGAAACACAAATAAACATTTAATGTACTAGACTATATACATATATATTTATATATGTATAGTATAAATGACTGATTTCTTGCAATTAATTCAGATTTTGCATGCAGAATATTTGAAAATAGTTAAAAAACGAAAATTTTGCAGAACGAAAATTTACTTCGTGCACCTTTTCTTAAAAGGGGCTTTCAATAATAAAAAAAGCTACCTACACAAGAATATCACAGTTATATATATATTAAATATACCAAATTTGATCTGATTTTCATTCAATTTTGAAAATTCGATGTCAATTTCGAATTCTCATAGTAATTTTTTGTTTTTTATTTATTTTTTCTTTTAATTCAAAGAATTTTGCCATTTACCTATATCTAATCTACGATATTTGTTAAGTGAATTGTGAGAATGTTTTCTGATTAGTTTTTTGCGAAAATGGAATTCTTTCTTATTCGTACCATGCGAAAATTGTTTTGTCGTTCCATTCTGTTGGAAATCATGGAATGAGACATGATTTTGTTTGACACCTTCTTGTTGCTGCAGGGTTACATCAGGTCAAAAGGCATGAAAAATGTTAAAAGAGAAAACATGATATTAATATTTTTATAAATATTTTTATTTAAATTTTAAATAAAGGAGATTAAGGATTATAGGAAAGCAAGGGTTTGTTTTCTTATGGATCGTTCGTATCTACAATTGGATAAAGTTGGATAGATTTACCTTGCCAGTACCACGTTTGCTGCGCTTGTGATGTTTGCGGTCATTGAACATGCGACGGAAGTTCATTTGCATTTTATAGTTAACCTAGAAAATGAAAAGTAGTGTTGTTATATATGAATATAAAAAAATAATTTAATATTTCGTATAATACTATTAAGAGAAAAATATTATTTAGGTTTTGTTTTGACTTAGCAGTAAACTAAAAAAAAAACTGAAAAACTTTCATTAGTTTATTTTTTATAAAAATATACGCTATTAAAATTAAATTGTTTGGACAAATTTTAAATAAATTAAAGCTATAAAAAATTTAAGATACATATATGTATATTTATCTGGTTAATGCATATATGTATACATATATGTATATTTATCTGGTTAATGCCTACTCATATGTTTCACTTATTCACTGTTGTACCATTCAATATAATTTTTATCTTTGCACAGGCACAGACTAGTACAATTTTTGCTGACAAATCCTACTTTTTTTTTGATACGAGAATAAGTAATAAATTTTATAAAAGTTTAGCCTGCTAAATTTAAAAATGATATTAAAAAAAACTGTTTAGCTTTCGAGCTTTCAGAGGCCTCTTACACTGTCCAAAGTTAGAAAAAAATCGTAACATAAATTAAATTGAATAATATTGTGTACAAAACCTAAATGGAGATATATACCATATAGTAAAATAAATTGTACTAAATGAAATATTTCAATTTCTATTTCATATGAGTTATTATCTGTTAATATATTTTATATTAAAAACTCATTTGCAGTTTGCAGTTTGCAGTTTTTGATGTGTTATACCAAAGAATTATAAAATTATTTGTTTTGAAACAATTTATAGTATTTTTCAGAAATGTATAAAAATTAGTATACTGCTTACGAATAAAAACTTTGTCTTGTTGCCCAATAAGTATCTGGAGCAGTGCTGTATTTCTTAAAATCTCTTCTTTGGAGACCCCGAACAACTTTCAAAAAATGAAATCAGAATCCTTACAAATTTCTCAAATAAAATCAATAGATTAATGTAATGCAGGTAGCTCTTGAAACTAATATACGCGCATTGCATAAATCCTGTTTCTTTAGTGTTGGGTGGAATTTTAATCCGGGCAATACATACGACATACGACATCTACCATATGCAAATATAGACAACATAATTGGTGAAGTTGCGTGGGCTCAAATAACAGGGACATCAAATTTTAATTGAAATCGTTAAAGTTTTGAATACATTGAACACACAATACATAGAAATAACCAAATCAGTAGGTGTGGTGTCGGTAATGCAATAGATTTAACATACCAATGGAAAAGTATTTAAAACATTTTTACATTTTATAGGGAAAGACCCAATATATTTCTATTTTAATTATGAATATTAGAATACCCAATATATTTGTATTTTAATTATGAATATCGGAAGTTTTGTGTTTATGCACTTATGAATATTAAAAGAGTAAAATAATTAAAAGATTAAGATTATTTATTGTGTTTTACTATAACTAAAAGCTACATTATTTGTGCAATAGTTCATCATCAGAGATTTGTCGAATGGACTTGGACAATTGGTAAAAATGTGCTTTCAAATAAACAATACTAATATTTGCTTTTTCTTTTTGTTTAAAACTAATGTCTAATATATGACATCTGCCTCAGATATGATACTCACCTGTGTAGACAAATCTCTGTCATCTACAGCGTGTCTGCTATAACTAAGACGACGGTGCTGTAAAATAAAAAAATGCGATATACAGCGAATTAAAAAGATGGTTTCGAATGAAATGCAATAATAAGAACACATTTAGAAGTACATATATATAAATAAGAAAACCAAAATCAGTAAAATAATGTAAAACTTTTAAATAAACAAACAAATATTAAATTAAACACTTGCAATACCAACAATAAGAATATTAAAAACAAAAATTAACCATACTACGAAAAAGATTATTAGATTTTATAGTCTACAGCAAAATATAAAATATTATGATTCATTGTTTATTACATTATTAACTATTTGTTATTGGTTTAATTAATTTTGTATATAAAATTTCAATATAAAAGCGAATAAGCGTTTTATTATTAGTTAAAAATTTTTATTTATGTATTATAATTAATTTTACGATACTGATTAATTAATTATATATTTGCAGAATTAAGTTACAAACAAAAATATTATATACATAAAAAGTTATCAGATAAAGTGAGAATTCGAAAAGGGCGTATAATTTTGTATACAGAAATTATATATAAAATTAAATTAAAGATGCAGGCAAATTAATATTAAATAAAGTGCAAAATATTTAATAGACAATAACATATACATATATAAAAAAATTATTAACAATTATACAAACAAAAAGGATTAAAATTTAAAATATATTTTACATTTACTGATACTTTTTTAAAAAACATATACACTACATTAATTAAAAAAACTTAATTCTATTGTACCGTACGTTGAAATCGAGTAATACTCGAGTTACTCGGTAAATGAGTAATATAGTACTCGAGTAAGAATTCAAAGCGACAACAAAATATATATGGAATATATTGACTTTTAGCAGTTTCAAGTAAAAAATGTCAAAACTTTCCTTTTACAGTTATATAAATCAATAAATCAAAGCATATGAAGTTTTATTCTAAACCGCATATTCTACCTAATTGTCAGAAAATTTCCTTAATTAATAAGAACGTTTTAATTAAGAATTTTATGTTGAAACCTAATACTTCTAAATTGGAGCACTGAATATACAACAACTGTTGCGAGTAAAATTGACTCCCAATTTTTGATAATGAAAGTATTAAATACAGTCTATAGGAAAAATTAATAACTTTTAATGAGATTTTGGATTGAGATGGATTAATTAAGATTGGAAATTGAGTGGTACATGACTCTATCCCTAATTATCAAGGAGTAAGTTAAATATCGGAGTAAATTATGTTATAATAGATAGCACTTTTTAACGCCCAAACCATTTTAATTTGTAGGAGTAATTAAACGTGATTATTTTAAAATAAAAATCGTTGATAATGGATAATTGGTAATATTTTAAATAGTTGGTCAGCCTAAAATTTATTAAATAATATACATAGAAAGCTCCACTCACTCAATTTCATGAAGGCTCAAAGACATGTGCGACGTGAAACTATAGAAATCAATCTAAATTTATTAATTATTAAGTAAGCATTAAAATATTACAGCCTTATTCATTAATAAAAAAGCTATATTAAAAGCTTACTTTAAATATAAATATATGTTATTACATATATATATTTTTTTAAATATCAAATTATATACCTTGCATTAATTTAAAATTAAAAAAGAGCAATTTATTATTCTTATTGTTATTATTAAAATGATATAAAAAATGCCATTAAAGTTTAATTTAGTAAGACAACAACAATAATGAATTTATTTGTTATTATGAACATATAAAATATTAAAATTAATTTTCTTAGAATACACATATTATGCTTATATTAAGATTATTATTTAATTTGTTTAATTATTATTTTTATATATATTTTTGAGCAATAAGTAGAAAGACACACATTAATTAACATTTAACAATCCAAAGTAAAAACAAAAAAATTAAATTAATTAATTAACAGCAAAAAAAATTTTTTTCAAACCAATTAAATATTTTCGTACCATTTGTATAGAAGCCTTTTTAGTTGTTTTTCGAATAGATAAGCAGAGAATTTGTTTGTTTTATAGTTTTAAGACCGAATTCGAAAGTTATCAGTTGCAAAAATAATTTCGAAAATTAAGGCATTTTCAAATTTACATTTTTCGCAATTATAAATTTTAGTCGTGGACAATTGTTTGAATTGTTTTTTATTGTTTGTTTTCATTTCACAACACGCATAAGGGGAGAAAGAAAAATTATTATTTATATTAATTGTTATAATTTATTATACAGATAAATATTAAGTTTAAAATAACCTATAAATTTAATAATTAAAACAGAAAAGAAAATTTCAATAAAGTAAAAATATAGAAAGCAAAACGAACATTAAACAAATAAATACAGAATTATACAAAATACAAAAAAAAGGCACTTTTAAAAATCCTTAAAAATTAAATTCGCAAACAAATCCAAAAAGATATTTTATAACCCATTAAATCATCTCTTCAGTTATAAAAACTTATACCTTTGAAAAGCTTTTAAGTGTTACGTTCGTACAGAGAACTAACTTGCGTTTTTGCATTTGAAATTGTACAGGTTTTGAAACCTAATACTTGTTATCCAATCAAATAAATATCATAGAAAGTTCTAGTATATTCTAGTTTATACCTAGTGCAAGACATGAAGAACTTAGGACTCGAAGAATGTGCATAAAATAAACCGCATTTCAAGTTGGTGTCACTGTACTATTCCATTGTGCAAGATTTCTTACACATTGCATTTACACTGGGTGTTTTTATAATTATACACGTGAGTGTTCTGTGATGGCAGTAAGCCTTCTTTATCTTGTATAAAAATTATTTGTAAAATGCACTACATAACGATTCCGAGAAAAGCGGACTTGAACACCATACTTCAATCATTTATTGAAAAATGTGTGGAGAATTAAGTTGAAGGTATTCTAAACCTTCATCAGTACAGTTGTTATAAATATTACATTATTTTGAAGGTTTTTTAATGTTTGTATATGTTTGTACTCAACCATAGCGAGCCGCACCATACGTCCGAACAAATAATTGTGGTCAAGCAATTGCTGATATATGTAGTTGTATTAAGTAAATGGAAAATGGTATAAAGCATAATGAGTAATTCGAGCATTTTCGAAGAAATATCTTTATTAAAACAGAGATATTTCTATACATCATATGTTACAATAACTTCTATACGAAGATCATAAAGACAAAGAGAGGGCCTGGTAAACCACTTAAAACCTGGTAAAATACTATTAAAAACGACAGGTGATGCAGGAATATAAACGAATAAACAATCTCGGCCTGAATTAGATTAATGCTAAGACAAATATGATGTTTATAAACACAAACATATGTTTATTGTGTTTATAAACACAAACGACTTCATCAAGTGCTGCGATATTTTTTAAGGATAATTTATGGTGCATTTACTATTTATTATTTAATAAATCAAATTAATAAATTAACAAAAAAAAACCCATAAATTAAATACTAAAAACTAAAATACGAATAGACAAAAAACTATAAGAGAATAATACAAAAATTTATATATAAAGAATAAAAATATTTATTACTTAAATAAAACACCGAAAGCAAATGATTGTAGAAATGTATATTATTTTTGATTTACTATTTATGTGTAACAAATGACACTGATTGAAGTAGAAAATATTGTGTGATATAATTTTATGTAATAATAAATTTTAACTTTATATATATATATATATATATATATACATAGTCCATATATAGGTGAAGTATTTTAAATACGGATTAAAATTAATTAACTGATTAATTTGAAGTATAAAACTTACCCTGCGATAAGGTTTAAGTTCTTCTGCCAGTAAATGGTGTATCTTGGCATCAGTTAAGTCTTTCTTTGAGGGATTATAGTCCAACTCATGCATATCCAAGTTACGTGAACAGCTGTGGTCTAAGTTAGTTAGGCTAGGACTAGTAAATAACAAAACAAGATAAGTTAAATTATATTTGATTAAAAACATAAATAGCAGCTAAATATCTAACTAGTGTGTGAACTAAATATTCAAGGAAGTAAGATATAAAGCTGCTTGTAAACTACATATGTGTGAGTATAATAGATTATTAATAATAATAAAAATTAAATTACAACCAATTTAAGTTAACTACTACTGTTAAAAGTACATGAACATACATATTGTAGATTATTAGTATAAAGTTTTGCATTTTACGAGTATTTACAATTTTGCTTACTGTTGTACCAAACATATGTTGTAAATATTTATATATTAAATAACATAATTAATCGAAATTAATTTTAAGAATTATTTAACTTAACTTAGAATTGTAACATTCAAAGTAAACGAATTTCAGTTACATTTACAGTGCATATTTATACGAATATAATATATATTTATACTATATAACTAATTAAGCTATATATGTTTTATATTTTTTAACATCAAACTTTTATGATAATTAAGCCAATATTAGTATTTCTCAATGCCTTTTCTCTTTGTCTTTTAATAACAATTTATTAAATAATAATATAATAATAAAAAAAATATTATTCACAAAAGAAATTAAAATAAATTACAATTAAAAAAATTAATTAATTTGATTGAAAAACTGATCAGAAAATAAAAATATGGATTAAAAAATGAAAACACATATAAATGAGTGAGAATGCAAGGACATAAAAAAATATTCCAATGAGTTTTATTAACGAAAAATCTATTTTTAAATTTAAATAAAGCCCAAATAAATTATATACGGACTATAAACTAATCAAGAAATTCGGATATTTCCTAAGACCACTGATGATGAGAACTTGGCAATACTCGAAACAGCGTTTTATGATCAGCCAAATTTCAATAGTCTCTTTTCGTGATAAAAACGCGTCACTGTCGGCAAGAAAAAATTAACATTTAATTAATTTTTTTTTTTTGATGTCAATGATAAAGATCATTACTGTGGAGCTTTAGCTTTAATTGGACAGTTTATAGCTGCCTTGAAATATTATTTCATTCACTATTCACTATAGATTCCCATTAAGTTTTAAAGAACATTTCTGAAATCTAAATAACTTCAATATAAACTTCTAATTTTATCTTTAGAAGTTCTATATTTTATAAGAATTAAATTTGAGATTATATCAGAAAAAGCTAGATATACAAATCTGTAGGTTATATATTTTTCAAAATTTGTTTGAAGTAGTAAATGCGGTTAAAAAATTGTGGTCGAAATACAAATAATAGTATTAATATATAATTTCATAATAGTATTAAGGGACGGCATTTTTTTATTTTTCAAAGTATACGCAAATTCTAATATGCGTATTAGAATTTACATATATACTCCATATTCTTTATGTACTTTACTTAGATATGTATATATAAAAATAATACAAGCAAGAAGAAAAAGGTTAAAATGCAATTACTTTTGTTAGTTATTCAATACGAAAAAAAGTGCAGTAGACTAAGATACTGAAAATATAATTGTTTTTATATGAAACATAAGTTTCATATTAAGTGAAATACGTCTACGTATAAAAAGAAAGGGTTACACATGCGCGTTTATAAAAATATTTTCATACAGGAATAAATAAACTATAAATTGAACTAGTCATTATGGTAAATATTAGTTACACAATACAATCAAAAGAAATGCATTAAATGAAAAGCAAGAAAATATAAAAGTAATTATACTAAATAAGTAAAATTAAAAAATGAGAACATTACTTAAAAATAAATTTTGTATGAAAAGAAAAAGAGTAATAATTTTGCTGAGGTACACATGCACGTCTAACTTTTGTCCTAAAATTCGTTTACCATGTAGTGTAAATGGTTGGTGGCGCCCACCTTCCACCAATGCAATTATTGGTGTAATTTCTGAACAGGGCACTCATCGATTCGGTGCCAGTTATTTGTCCAATCGTTGAGGGATTACGCCGCATAACTTCCATGGCATCACGCATTGTTAGTTTTGAATACGTTTCAATGATTTTGGGTTCAGCGCCCTAAAAACACAAAGTTCATTAGACTTTATATAATTAAAATATGGTTCACATTCAAAATATATACCGCTTGAAATTCTTGAAGTTCATTTCTATTTTATTTCTAATTAAAACTTACTTTTATATAACATAAAATTGAAATGCGCTTTAGAAAGTTTTTTTAAAAAATAAAATATTTAATATATGACTAATAAAAGTGATATATATTCTGAATTTTTAATTTAAGATCAAAAAAATTTTTGTTTTTTCTAACTTAATATATACTATATTTGATATGTATAAATGTATAAAATAGAAATGTTTTATAACTTCATTATCTGTATACATATTTTTTATATGCAAAGTATTCAATACTTTTGATCATTTTAATATTAAAATTTGATTAATATTTTATCACCTTTAAATCTCTGATTAACAGCGGTCTGATGAAACGGTTGTCGAAACGCTTGAATTTATCACGTACATTATAGTTACCAGTCTTTCCAACAATATCTTCAATACCAGCCATTAAATGATCCATAAACTAAATGAAATTTTTATTTTACTTTTTTGTTTATTTATTTACATCTCAATTAATAATAAAATTATTTATATAATTTCTTCAGAAACTTTAAATAATTTTTTCAGGGAAACTTGAAATTTTTTAAACTTCTACATTTTTGATTTAAAATATTTTCATTAAATTTCCAGTTAATATCATAAAAATATGTTAGTAGTTGTACTACAGGATCAAATAAAAATAGTTAAAATACCCACACATAAACATTTAGTAATATCAGTATTTAAATAGAAGTAGTGATATAAAGTAAATAAATAAAGAAATAGTTAATTAAATAGTTAATAAGTTCCGAGTGTATAGTTATATGTTAGGTTAGTAACGATTATTCTTAGAATACTAAATACGAATAATTTAAAAAGGTACAATTTATTGTTGAAATTTTTCACAAAGTCTTCGCAAGATACTACCACTTAAGATGTATTAAACAATAAAGATTCATGGAATATGCATATGCATTTAAATCTTATATTTATTGACATCAATGCTCAATATCCGAAGTTCGGATACTTTTAACACTATCAAAAGGGACAACACACGCAGCAGATTTCTGCGTGCTGCAACGACAACAACGGCATACAAGAATTAAAGTTGTATTTGGTAAAAATTTTGTACACTTATGTATTTGATTCAAAAATATTCAAAATCAATGTAACCCCTAAATTATTTGAAATCAGAATAGGCAATTTTCAAAAATTGACTTACTCGTTCATGTATACGCTCATTCATAGTAGGTTTGCGTTTATTAGCGCGTTTTACATTAAGTATCTTCACCAATGGCTTAATTGTAATACCTTGCAAAAACACTGTGAAGTATATGACAGCAATGGTCGTAGTTACAAACATATCCTTTTGCTTAACAACATTTTCATCCACTAATAAGACTAGAGCGAAAGCAACAGCACCACGTAAGCCACCGTAGGACATCACAAACTGATCGACACGAGACAATTTGTGTAGACGGAATCGATTAGCCAAGGCAGACAGTAGTATTACACCTGATTAAAAAAAACAAAACAATTGAGATTTTATGATATGTAAAGCATAAACTTTAACTCACCAAGAACACGAAAAACTGAACAGAAAGCAATAGTTAACAGCACAAACCATGTATTCCAGACATGGTGATTATTTACAGTAGCAACACCCAAAAACATAAAGATAATTGTTTCCGAAGAACTCGATAACATTTTTAAGGCATATTTAACAGTCGTGTGCGATTTTTGGGAAATATTCGATTCCACGTAGTTTTTCATCGTTATGCCGCAAAAAGTAATTCTGAAATTATAAATATTTTAATACAATAGTACGCTATAACATATAAGTAATTAAACTTACGCCAAAATACCACTCATATGGAAAATTTCCGCATTTAAATAAGCTAGATATGCCATTACAAATATGAAAATCGGTTCAATTACACGCACATGGTCTGTAAAACGTGTTACAAGACCTGTTAGGAAGCCCCAAATGATACCTATATATATGAAAATAATTGATAAAATATATTTTATAATCATAAACATTTTATTTAGTTTATAATGTTGCGTACCTATAACAGTACCACCAATTGCAACAACAAAAAATGATCCCACGCCGCTCACAACGTCTTGCGCTATTATATTAGATATACCAATTTCATTATATACTTCCATCATATGATACATGACAACCTGAAAATGAATATAAAAAAAAATTAAATAAATTTTAATGAAAATTTAAGGATTTCTCAACCCTTGGTACTTGCAGTCTCAAAAAATTATTTATGAATAATTGAATACAAGAATTATTTCCAAGACCACTGATGACGGTTCTTTGACAATACTCGAAAAAACTATTTTCAGCCAAAAATTAATTAAATAAAATATAACATATTTTATAGCCAATTAACAAAACTTCAGAAAAATGTGCGTATGTGAATATAAAAGTCAAATAGGTATGGCTTTGGGTCAGTTGGTTAAGGTGCGCTGACTGCTGACTCTGAGCTTTAAATTTGGCAGGACACGAGTTCGATTCCTGGTACTTGCAATCTCAAAAAACGGACGTCAATTTTGATCAATTTAATTAAATAAAATGATAAATTAAATTAAAAAAATCTACAAATCAACTTAAATTTAAAGTCGCATTAGTTTAACAATAAAGTAATTTTTAATACTAAAGTTAATAATAAATAAGTGTGTTATAAGCTATACTAACTATATAGTTTGTTAACAAATAATATATTTATTTATATAAGGAAAAATATTTCTTTTTTTTTTTTTGGATAAAAAATTGTTTGTTTCTCGGAAGCGGCTATTTACATTTTAACTTAAACTTTATGTTTCTGGAACTGAGATCTATATTTTTCTTAAGATTCCAAGCATAGCCGGGTCTATACCCGAAACCACACACTCAAAAGGGACTACAAAAATAGATTCCTGCGATTACAACAACTATAAAACAGATTTCTTAACAGACAACTATTTAAACTAAAGGTAAAGTTTGAGATATATTTGTCTACTGAATCCAGACTATAAACACCAATACATTTTTGTAATCAAAACTTTTGTAAACAATTAAATATATATTGCATTGCATATATACACTTACATATATATCCATAGTTTTATTTTCTAATAATTATAAAATTCAAATATTTCAATGTAATTCCTATTAAAGACTTTTTATTGTAAAGTAAAGCTTTTTTTATTACTAATTCTTATCAATAAGTTAACGAAAAATTCCCACAATTCGGTATATGTATATATATGATACATACATACAATGCATATATAAATATATAATCTATATTGAGTCATGTCTCTGTGTGTGCGTGTGTGTTTCTGTAAAAATATAAATATTATTTATACAAAACATATTTATATACTATATGTTTCCGCAATTATCTGTAAGTAGAATTTTATATATATTTTAATATGCCGAAAGGAAATGGTCTCATGTGTAACATTTTCAGCTCATTTATATACAGTAAAATAAATATTTTGTCATGAAACAAACAAAAAAGGTTCTAAAATCAGTTATTAAATATTTGAAATTTATTATGAAAAATGTCAAGGCTTTTAGTAACAATCCCTAAAATAACAACAAGATTGTTTATTTTATGAAGAAAAGGGAAAATAATATTTTCAAACTCTATCAATCATCAACGATGTATTACTCACAACTGATGATAAATTTTATATCGGCACTTTTGATTTGAATTCATAATGCCCATATGTACCCATAAGTGATTTTATTTTTTAAATATATATGTACGTATCAGTGTAGTAAGGTTGTACAGTATAGAAAATTGTAAAAATTCAAATCGTGAAATAGTCATAAGATTTTAAAATAATAGTACCATAAAAACACTTGTTGACAACAAAGCATAATTTTGTTATAAGATAAAAATAGAGATTTCGGAGGTGTTTCGGCCCCTAACTTTATACATGTCATCAAATTATATACTATAGCTCAGGGCTGTTCAAAGTACGGCCGCGGGCCACTTGCGCCCCGCGACTATTTTTAATGTACTACAATTACGCAAATTTTCTTTTGATGTGCTCGTAAAACCACAATTTTTTATTTTGATGGTATACCAAATAAATGAATTTAAATTGATAAATTAATAAAACTAAATTTAAAATTATAACCGTATTTTTTTTTTATCGAAAACAACTGTGAACATATAATATGTATTTGTATTTGCGGCCCTTCAATCTGTGCAATGATTTGTATTGGTCCGCGATGGCATCTGGTCTGGACAGCCCTGCTATAGGTAATAAAAATGGTCAACTACTATTATATATAGCTTTACGGGATTAATTTCCTATTTAGTTTAAGCTATTCTTGTCGTTTTTGGATGCAAATAAAAATAATAATCACTTAAGACTTTTAACCCAACGTTTCGATAATATTTTCATTACTACTTTTGCAGAAAATTGTTGATGAATTATTTCTATTTTATAATAACTTTAATATATATATAAATCAAATCGAATACCACTTAATTGCACACTTTATATTTATATTTAGATTGACAAATAAAACTTATAAAAGTGCTATAAAAATGTAGTATAGAACTATATTGTAGCAATTTTATATGGTATTTGCTTAACTGCATATGCAAAGGATGGATTTCATTATTATTATTATATTATTTTTATATACGTATATCGTATAATTATTCTTTACAATATAATATTTTAATTATTAATTATTTAATTTAAAGTTTAAAAATTATTGTTGGCTATTTTGACACCTGTAGCTTTACATAGATAAAAGTAGACAGACCAAATAAAATTAAGAATTTATTATTAGATAAAGAAACAATATTTTACAGTTTCAGCATAACCCGTCATAAATTAATACAATAGATTGACATCAATAATACTATAGGGTTTCCTAAAAACCGATAGGTTTCAACACTTCGTACTATTTTGGAATTGTTTAAAAAGCATAGTTTTTACATAGAACAATGAATTCAAATAACAATGAACAATGAATTCTCCAAAATATAATATATCGGTGATAAACCACACGACCAAAATGATTAAACCACAGGTCTACTCACAGAGTTAATAGATTCACTTGCTCTAACAGCTCGTTGATTTTTCTGATAATATAACATGTACCATAGATCCATTCAAATGAAAAGCCGTTTGTAATACGCCAACCCACAAATACAATAATTAAACGTTATTTATGTATTAGATTGTAAACATTATTTCGAATCATTATTGTTTATAAAATAAATAAATCACGTATGTATTTACTCTACAATTATAGATAAATCTACAAGACACGGTGGAGCCTTCACTGAAGCATATCTGTTATTTGAACCGTACCCACGCGAACATACAAGTTGTCACAATTTATATATTTTTATTTTAATAAAATGTTTAATGTGTTAGGACAGTACAAATTAAAATTAAATTAAAATTTTAGAATTCTAACAAAGTTAAATAATGCGTGTTGATTTTAAGAAGAAACTCGTTATTTGGGTCAGAGGTATCGATGTTAAAGACAAAATGGGTATGTCCGAAGAGTATGTCGACTCTGCTTAGAAGCAGACGAGACTTTCAGTTACATTCTCTGTGACTGCCCAGCCTTAATCTGGGTCAGGAGGAGGTCACTGGGTTGAGAACTATTCTCGCTTTCTGGCATTAGGAGGTCCTTAACAGCAGACATTCTGGCTTTCATTCGAAAGGCGGAATATCTTCTGTTCGGTTAGGATCTGTTGCAGCACAAAAAATGAACTATAGTTGCAGTGCTCCGCTCTGTTGGGAGTTAGTATCCCGTTTATTCCTATTACTATCGATTTTAAAGTTATTCTGTTTATTAACTTAAGAAGTTTTGCTAATTGCTATGATATATAATATTCTTTTCTATGGTAAATGCTTACTGCATATTTTTATTATGGGAATACTATTTAAATTTATCGCTATTATGTGAGCATTTTTACGCAATAAAAATTAGTTTCATTTTATATTTTATTCTAAACTTTCCAATAACTTATTTGAAGTGAGAATTCAACTAAAAAAAATAAACTAAAATATCATGTTGTTCTTCTAAGCAAGTTTAACATAACAGACTTTAAAGAACTCATTTTTCTTAAAGTTGTTTCATGTTAAGCTTTTATGAAATCTTAAAATCATAAGCCCACATTTTATTTTTATATGGAAAACAAGTATTATTATTAGTCTGTAAAGAGAGAATCGAAACTTATTGCTTCACCTACGTACGCATGTCAAAATTCAAGCACTTTTACTTGTCATCATCTTAGTCAGTCAGACCATTATTAACAACTTGAAATTACCACCATCAATAACAATAATAGCAACAACAATACAACCGTCAACAGTAACAACATCTCAGGAAAATTGATGTTAATGAGGTTAATAGCAAAGGTAAGATAGCATATAACAATATAAAAAAACAAGCACAAGTAGTAACCATAAGTAGTGCCTAAAACAAGATTTTTTTACTTACCGTCACCGCGTCGTTTAATAAGGATTCACCAAAAACAACAATGTAAAGAATTTCATTAACATGAATTTCTTCGAATACAGCTAATACTGCTACTGGATCAACCGCGGAAATTAATGACGCAAATAGGAATATATCTAAAAACTTTGGAGTTTGATCCGCGCCACCGAAGATACCGGTCAAGCCGCAGGCCCATAGTGAACCACCTAAAAGAAAAGAAAAAAATCAAAAATGTCATTAATAAATATATTTAAATCAATATTTTAATAAAATTTGAAGTAAACAAATCGGTATTAAATTGATATGTAATCAATGTAATTAATTTTTGTAGAAGGGAACAGCATCTGTTGCTGTCAGCACCGTTCAGTTACTGACGTTACAACGTGCATAAGCTGCCATAACATTAAATATGGACCAAGAAAACAGGCTGCCACAACCCTTCACTTTTTGTTACCTTCACTGAAAAAATAAATAATCGTTAGTGCAAGTTGGTCATGTTGATGGCACTGAGATTACAGAAATAAGCTGTCATTTCATTTTCATTATTCCAGTGATGTTGTTATGCACGTCGGCAACATTCAATATCTTGTTCATCCTTGCGTAAGCAAATTTTTTTTAAGTCTTATGACTTTGGAATTTTAGTAAAATTTCAATAAAACAGTTAGGACCAATTTTTTATGTTTTTAACTGACAGCAGCAGCAGCAGCAGCAGTAGCTATTAGTAGACAAATCAATACATTTAATTGACATTGTGTTGTCAGGAATAAATATTCCATTGCAAGAACTACGTTTCGTTAAATGTTTCAAACATTTATTAACTTATTTCAAATATAAAAAATATAAGGATAATGAATGAATTCAAAAACAAGAAAGTTTTCATTATGTTTCTACAATTTATGTGAGACTTGAATCTGAACCAACCAAGACTTTCTCTGCGGAATGAGAAAGTCGTTGCAGAATCAATAGCTGTAATCCTATTCCAGTATTCAATGGCAAATACAAGAGCTCAATAATCCTAGTATTTAGCACTCAAAATACTCTGAGCCAGTTTATCTGTACGTTATCTACAGTATATTAAGTTCATTTATAAGCTAATAAACTCAGTCATGTGGTTCTAGTCCATGCAGATTTTTTAAAGTTACGTTATGAATAAAGAACAAAATTTATTATTAAAGTTTTTAAATATTAAAAAATTGTTTTATTTTTTTTAACACTACATAATATTATAGTTTTGTATAAAGATATGATTTTTGTCCGATTAAATGGTTACACTTTTGTTTCTTAGTTTCGATTGACTCTTTAGATTTTTATTAAGAATGACTGAAGTCATTTTTGAAAAATTTAAGATTGGATTAACCAATCGAATTATAGCTTCTAAAATTTTCAGGAATTTTCCAGAAGCTTACTTATCTCCATCCTATAAGATTGAAGCTTCAATTTTCTAAACCGCGTCGTAAGCGTCTTTAGCTTTTTCGACAATAGACAGATGACGAGATCAGTGTCCAGTAGTATTTGGACATCTCATTGATCAAGTATTTTATATGAAACTGAGATCTTTTGATACAGTTTCGAAAGTAAACATTTTACAACAATGTTTCCATAAGAAATATAGGCATTAAGACTGAATGTTATTGGCTTTATAAACGCGCATAGGCGCTTTAAGATATTTTAATGTGCAATAAATAGGTACGTATTCTGAAGATACAAAAGTGTAAAATGGTGGCGCAGTGCCGTTATATTATTTTGGGGTTTGAACGTGCATATGCACTTATTCGATTAAGGTTCTCAGACCGCTATCCATTCGTCAATAGCAGACCAGAAATTTATAAAAAGATAGCCAAAACTTTATTTCGATTTGTTAACTCAATCTTTCGTTACAAGCCTTTTGAAGTTGCCGTGTTAGTGAACGTCGTGTAAGGATTAAATTATTTATAATAAAAGATTTAAAAGCAATGAAAATTCATACATAAATCGTAAATATATTAGGTGAATCTACTTCAATAGGTTTTAATGCAGTATCAGGTGCATTAACACCAAAAATTTTCGCAAAAATATTGCATATGGCCTTAAATCGTCGTTTACTGAGTGAAATTAAGCAAACCCTTTTTCATCTATTAAAATTGTTTAACTAAATACTCCGTTTACAATTCTGAATGCACATTAGATGTCACATTCGCTAACAATCTAATAAAAACATTACAAAGGCGACTTTGTGAGCAATATCTGAAAGGTTTTCGAAAGAAATAAAACACATTTTGAGCATAATTTCTTAATTGAGGAATTGGATCTACTACGATGATCCTTAATCAAAAAGAAAGATTAAAAAGTGAAGTGATATTGGCCAAGAATATGTAAGCGTCAGTTTTATGGGGAGCAGAAGAAATTTTATTATTAGATTACTCTCTAACGAATAAAACAATAAAATCAGTTTATTATTGCAATCTTAATTGGATGTTAAAATGAATAAAATCATTAAAATCAGTGAATAAAGAACAAAATGTTGCAATAACCAGTCCAATTCACAAGATTAACAATAGTTCCCTCTAATTTCTGGCTCTTCTCATATTTCGAAAAATTCGTTTGTGTGAAACGATTTTCATTAAACGTTCCCTTCATTTCATTTCCATTCCACGAACTCATTAAACATCTTTGTATTCATTTATATACGCATATGCATAAATTTAGTACAATGATCAACAGTTTCTTGCCTTAATAGAACAAATAAAACTAATATCTTATTAAACTGCCATTAGTCAATTGAAATCGTGATCACACTTAATTATGATAACAATAAACACAATCATGATATTCGGATACCTTAGAGAGGGTCAGGAGATTAACAATTTCAATTAGCAGATGCTCAAAAAGCGACAATAAATTTTTTGGCACGCGATCAATTTAAGTTAAATAAAACAAAAAAAGAAAAGAATTGAGCGAAATTTTGCGTTTCGTTTTCTACTAATCACAATTCAAAGAAAAAAACTAAATAAAAAATATCTACAAAATAATAAATCTTTTTCTACTAAAAGCGCAACGAACGCACTTGTATTTTTTATTTAAAAGGAATTCCAAAATGGATCATGCAAGTAAATTTGTAAAAACTAATAATATCTTAATAATGTGTATCTCATAAAAATCTGAAAGCCTTGATAAATGAGCTTAAGAACTTGCCCAAATTCTAAATTTCTAAACTTTAATAGTCATACCAACAAGTTGAGTGGTTGACTTCTCTATCAACTACGCTTGTTACAAGATTCTTATCATAGCATAACAAGATGACCCTTGTCATCAAGACCCCAAACACAAAAACAAGATAAGAGACAGCATATGAGATATATTAGATCGATCTCCAATTAAAAAATACTGTTCAACTTTTGAGGTAACATAATTATTCTTTTCTATATACACCATGTTAATACAACATGTTAAATGTGTGTATGTATTATTTTATATTGTATTGTATATACACAATATATATCATACTCTCATATAATAGATTGGTTATAAAGCATAAAAAATAACATATTAATTAAAAACCGGAATAAATTTCACTGAAAAATTATTTATAACTACTAAACTAGAAAATTATTTTTACTGGCTTATCTGACGGGTTATCATAGCCTGCATCACGATCTTAACAAGATGGGTCTGTCTCACGAGAATGTGTCGACTTTGTTTGGAATCAATTGAAAGTCCTAAACCCATTATTTGTAACTCTTCGGCTTTAGTCTAGGTTAGGAGAAAACAATTACACACTTAACGTATGATATTAATGAACCTTCAACAGGTCATAATTTAGCTGTTGTTCGAAATGAGGTATAGTTCATTTTCAGTTAAGGTCGTTTCGCAGTACAAAGAAACATTCATTGTTACAATTCTCCGTTCCGTTACTAATTAGTATCCCATGTATTCTTATTTTATTTTAATAGTGAAATTGATCTAAATCGATGTAGTTTCTAATTTCTGATTTTTAATATTGTGTTGTGTATAGAGTTTGGCACCGGTCAAGTAAAATCAATCGCCAATGAAGGACGTAAGGATGCTTCGGACTTGGTAACCGATTTTTGGCGACTCACACAAGCGACTTAGGGACAATGATTTACACATATGCACCTGGAATGTCTGAACCCTCTATAGGGAAGGAATCCCTTAATAAATGTAAGGCTAACATCACCGCCATCCCGGAAATGCGATTGACAGAACAAGGCTGCTATAAAAGAGCGAACTGTGATGTCTACTACTGCTGTCATGCAAATAGGCATGAGGAGTTTACCAGTTGCGGTTTTGCGATTAACAAGAAGGTCTGAAAATCAGAAAGGCTTTTTACAATCCGCATTAAAGGAAAATTCTTCAATATTAGCCTAATTTGGGCTCATGCGCTGACAGAGCAAAAGGATAATTTCATGAGAGATACCTTCATTGGTCCAACGTTCGGAAAATTGAGCTTTCATCTCAAACAACGGTCTGAGAGTTATTGATTTCGATGTGGTGCGAAACATAGTAGTATGTATCACTCACCGTAATATTCAGAAGACAACGTGACTATCTCCCAATCTATTAACACAAAACCAAATTGATCATTTTGTAATTAACGTAAGACATATGCCAATGTTTACATGTGAGCCTCAAGCACTTGAAACAGAGATCCAATATTTAGAATTCAAGATTATTTTCCCATAAGATAATGAATAAAAGCACATTAATTTTCATTGAATGTTCACTTTTTTGCCTTTCAACCGTTTTTACGTATGCGCCTCTTTCAATTTAAATAAATTAAAATGAGCACAACATTTCATTAAGACACCAGAATTGTTTGTGATATAAGATGTACTCGTACTCAAGTATGCTTTGTACATATCGGCATAGGACGGGTGTCTATGTTTATTGAAAATTCTTTAAGTTAATTATGAGTGTAGGCGCTGCTGTGGGTACTGCAAAATAATTATTATTGCTCCCTCCTATTACTTATTTGTTTTGTAAGCTAATAAAAGAAATTTAAAAAAAGTCTTTTTAAAATGGTACAGTTTATGACTTTTTCCATTCAGAGATGAATTGTAGTTTTCTTCTAGTAGAAGTGTTTGCAGTTGTTTATTAACATTTCGAATAAATTAGCAATTTATTTTTAATTAATTTATTTCACTTAACCATTATGCTTTATTTTTGTTTGCAAATCGTTAGAAATCAACTATTTAACTTATGTAACTTAAAGGCGGAAAAGGTGGATCTGTAACGAGGAATTGCGCACCAGAAACACCGTTGAGAAACACAATCAACAAATTGAAGAGGAATGTTTAAATCCGAAACTACTGGACACATTATAGGTAAAACGACATCAATCACATAACTCCCGATAGTGTGGCACTCAAAACTATGATGGAGCTTTAATTCCTATGTATTAAAGAGAAGTTAAAGAAGTTAAAAAAGTAAAGAAGAACGTACTCGGTAGAAATAAGCCGTATCACTATATATATATGATGTATAATACATGTATAATAGAACGAAAAGTATAGAAGCTTTGGCTGATATATACAACGATATGATTATCCGTTATAAAGTTTTGTTTATAAAATATATTTGTGATTAAGATCAAATTTTGTTGATCAAATTTTTATTTCAATATATTGCTTAAACTTTAGTATTAGATGCGAAATATAATATTATTGAAATGTCTTTCATGGGACAACTTATAACATTGGATCATGAGGGTTTGACTCACATCTTTGTTATTTTCAAAAAAAAAGTACTGATCTAATAGACACATCATAATTTAAATGGCAACCTTAAACTAAATATATAAAGCCTTTGATGACAGTTCTCTTGAACTTATGTCACTGAAATAATAGTGCTGCCAAATCAGGATCATTAAATGTATAACTATTTATAAAAATTAACTTTCTTATTCGAATTTCGAGTATTTTCAAGACCCGGACACCTATGAGCTTAAATTATAGTATAGTTTTCTTACTGTTTTAACTGTTAAATAAGAAACAAGCATTTTTATATTTGTAAAAAAACAATCAAAATCAATCAATCAATACAACCACTTTAATAGGTTCCTCCTCCTGATTTAACTATAACAATCGGAATTTCTCCATACAAGTTTACTAGGGCTTTGAAAATAAGTTATTTTTAATATTAAATAATACTTAAAGGACACTAAAAATATGAGCAAGATATATAATTTGCAAAGAGTATATTCGTAACTAATATATAAGCATATTAGACATTGAATTATCCATTTCCATTTCCAAAACATTTATAAGTAATTATTATTATTGTATTGACCAATAATTGCATAAAACTAATTATAGTTGTTTGTTAATAATTAACTTACCTATTGTTGCTATATTAAATATTGTGCCAACAACAGCCATCAGTAGAATTGTACCTAGATTATCGAAAAACATTCGATTTGGCATAAAATAGCCCGCATCCAATATAATCGGTGGAAGCATATAGAAGAAGAAAGTGTTCGGCGTCAACGGAGAGACAGCAACTTCAGTTCCAAAAAACAAGACAACACCGATAACCACGCCCACAACAATCAACAGACAGGATTCAGGAAATATTAAATGCAATTTCGGTGTCATATGAAAGCCTAAAAAAACACAAACACAAAAACAAAAAGTAAAAATATTTAATTAATCAACTTGTTAACAAAAATTAAAAAAAAGTTAAATACGCCTTCAAGTCATTTCATATTCTATACAAACAGATGCAAACACCAGTTGCTTTTATTGAAAGTAAAAGGTACAGACGTACCGTTTAACCACAAAATTATACAAATAAAAAACCTACTTTAGTATTTCTTTCAAATATTTGCTTTTCTGACATGACAGCTACAAATTGCTGATGGGGTCGAGCTGCAATTGAAAGGATCTTTATTATGTGGGGAACTTGAGTACTACATGTACAAACTTTGCAAAAGTCATAAAAGTAAAAAAGATATTAGCAAGCAATAAAATCAGCAATTTACTTGTTATAGAAAGACTAAAAATATTAAATAAAGATTCGATTACTTCAATGCGAAAGTCAGTTAGACACTTTCTGCCCTCTTCCAAAGAAGAGCACCCATTTAAATGTCAAAGTTCTAAAAAGGCACAACAATTAAAAGTACTCACATAGCATTTTGACCTTCATTTTATACAAATTTTTATTCGTACAAGTCAAAATGGAATTGAGCAATCTTTATAATGCGTAGAAACTTTTGCTCCCCACTTCGAATAACTACGGAGCCTTGGAATAAACTAAATAAGGGGAGCCAAACAACCTTTTCGAAAATAAAAATTTTACCGCAAAAAACTAATGAAAATTGTTGCTTTTACTTTAAGATTGAAGTTCGTTTTTGAAATATCGTTTTAGTATATTTCACTGCCATTGTCAAGTGCTTTTCTGTTGGCTAGGATTTGGTTAGGGATTCATGCAGAACACCTCCTTCCTGTGTCAAGTATTTTTAATTAAGAAATATCTTATCTTACATTTCGTTCACATTTTACCGTTTGATAAAAGGTAATAACCACAGTAAACGTAAGTGCCAACAATTGCAGCTGTTGAGAATGTCCAAAAATGTTAAATAATTTAGCATTTGAAATCTAAACTTTAGGTTAGATAAATTTAACAATGGGCCTCGGAGGCATATATTGCCCATAGTGAAAAAAGTTGAAAATTAACACTGGGCGCCCAGTTTTAATCAAAATTGAATGATATAAACATATTCGTATGATATGTATTTTTAAATAGAAAATATTTATGACGTATTGACTTACTCTCGAATAATTCTTACCAATTTTTGCAATACTAGCTGATAATATCCAGATACCGATAATAAATGGCGTTTTCACACGATCAAAATCCACTTGAGATAATGGATAGCGTTCGGCATGATGTCCTTCCTTGTATGAATCGGAATCGGAAAGAAAAATATTTTTTGACATTTCTTTTGATGGCTTAGAAAAGTCCGGAATGGCACCATCACTTGTCTGTAACGAAAAAAATTTTATTTTTAAATAAATTTGATGTTTCCAAAATTTATTACTATAACATATATTCAAGTTACTATAACTACATATTAACAATTAATTTTAAAGTGAGTTAGAATAATTATGACTCTATTTTTTTTACAAGTTTTTATTCGTAAAAGCAAATTTTCTGGCTAAAAGCAAATTTTCTGATCAACTTTATACAGCTTTTTACCATATCATTTATTTTTTTTAATTACACATCTCAAATTTTATTTATACCACTCTGTTGCTGAGGGCAAAGTGAAGAAAAGTGAAATAGGAACAAGGTCTTCAGAGGTGAATCAATTGTTACCACCCATTCGAAAAAGATCGAAAAAGTCCCATACCGCAACGAATAATATGCATTTATAATACGTCACTATACTCTGAGTAAAGCGCAAAATGGCTAAAAAAAGGGGAAAGCCTGTTTTAATTGTTTAAACTAATTTAATTATTTTCCATTTCAGTTTGTTTAGACAAATGGACAGACCACGATGGCTAATAGTAGCATACTCAGACGTTCCCTTTAATGTGTTCGAAACAGCTTGAAAAGCTCTTTACTCACTACATTCGAAGGAAATAATTATTACACAAATGTTAAGGAAATATGAGAAATATATGAGACTAAATAGATAATTTCATTGATATACTGTCCGGATACTGTCCGTATAAGGCACAATAATTCGACTCTATAAAATATTCGTGTAGTTATGTATAAATTAAATGCATAAAGCCAAAAGTTCGAATTCTGTTAACAAGCATAACAAATCAATTTTATGATATAACTGATTAAGAGCTAGTGATCACCATAAATAGCACGACTTGTTTTTTTTTTTTTTTTTTTTTTTTTTTTTTTATTGATGATGGACTTTTGAAAGTCATTATGTATCTATCTAGCTTTATCTAACGAAATGCACTTTTAAAAGGTCAAATGCGAGTACATATATTATTAGAATTGCGTGTGAATGAAAAAAAATAGAGCAACAAACGAACACTTTATATGAAATTGTATTTATTTGCTTCTACTTATTAATTATATTGTACATACATATTTATAAAAATACATATGTGTATATATATTAGATATGGGTATTTACCGAGTTCTTTTGTTTCGCTACATGCTAGATAAAATTTTGCCATGATAAACAAACATTGTAAATATTGTTTAACAAATGTTACGCATAAATGATATAATAAAAGTATATAAAACACGGTTGTTCAACTAACTTAGTTATTATCTATTACCGCCCAAAACGTTGACAAATTATTTACAAGCGTTTTTATATGAGCAACAACTGATAGTTACTTGGGAAAATAAACAAAATATACAAAACACAAGGTAAATCAACAAAAATGCGAAACATTATTATAAGAATAATATATATTATAAATATTTAGAATGTAAAAACCGGGCGTGAATATCACAATACATATTGATATATGGTATATGCACCTATATCACGCATATATTTTCAATAACTAATTTAATGTAAAATCTAAACGGTAAGTTGAATTAAGCTTGAATATATCACATATACATATACATGCAACATGTGAATATTACATACAAGGTTTTTCAATAATTTTGCGAAGTGCCATCTATTTGTCAATAGTAGAACTAGAACTCTGATGGATTTTAATATTTTGCCTTTTATAAGAACAGATCCAATATTTCATTATTAACTGTCATTTATTCTATCCTCATAACGCATTAGAAGTTGATGTGCAGAGCTCTGTATTGTGTATTGCGTGTGCACTCACTTACACACTTGGAAAAGGTGACGTTCTAAAACTGAATCTGGTTTGTTAGTGAGCCATTTACATCATAAAAAGGATTCCTTAGAAGGTTTTCAAAGAACTACATTAACACCAAAAACGTTTGCAAAAATACAATATTTATAGTTTTAGAAGCTAGGCATATGCAATTCATTAAACACAGTGAGCAATATTTTTTGGGGGCCATATGCAATAAAAAACATTCGAAATGCTATCTTAAGAAGAAACTATTGAGTAAACTTGGCTGTTCGATTTATAAACGAGGTTGTATGCAGGAATTGGCTGTAAGTATACTTATACTATACTATATATATACTATATATATTCTTGACAATACAAACAGAATGTTAGTAGTAAATCACATTCAAACTAATGAAACCATAAACTTAGATTATTATTTAAACCTCTTAGACGATTTGGATACAAAAACTTCAAATGATGAAAATAATTTTTCATTAAAATGATGAGTTGATCTTCTTACACAGCTCAAAGAAATCATTAATAAAATTAGTGAAATGAAGTAAGAATAGTTGAATCTTGCCTTCTTTCCGGCGAAAGCTTAGGAAGAAGCAGTAAAGTCAGTTCAACATTTTTAAATAAGGATTTATCCTTACACCAAATTGTGAACAATAAAATATACTAACAGATCCAAAAAAAGTAATGGTGATAATATATAGTTTGCATATCTGTACGGTGTCCATCGAATTTTAAAAAATATATACCAGAAATTTCATTATTCAAAGGATCTGTTAGGGTGCATAGAAGAACTCGCGTTATCATTAATATTTTCTCGATCTTTCTAAAAGTGTTCTTTAACATTGTTTCGAAAGCACTTAATTCCTGCTAGTTATGACGTATCTCGTTTCTTGAAAGTAATCGCAACATAAGAACGGTTTCGACTAAGAATACCGTGAACAGTATCAAAATTTTTGCTACTCTCTGATAATGCCTTGTATGAAATAGAAAATTGACAGATTTTTTTTCTAAGTCAATATTTATATATTTATTAGTATATAAATTCATCAACAGAAAAAAATGGTGTAAAGTAAACAAATTTGATTCCAAATATTTAATATTTGTTATGGTCGGCGAACAATTCTCTAAATTCATTTGAATATGAACCAGTAGTTTTAATAAATTAATAATAAGATATATAAACAAATAACGAGCAGGAAATACTAGTTGAATTAAAATTCATTTTTTGCATTTTTTCCGTTTGTTTTTTTTTATTCGTTTTCTTTTGTAATAAACTTTTTATGGTCTTAAAAAAAATGATAATTAATCAAATAATATTTTTAATTAAAGGTCTTATGAACTTAATGTTGTTTATTTTAAAATTATGTAAAAATATATGAATTAACATTAAATATTTTATCTTATTAAGCAAAATAATTATAAATAAAAACAAATTATCTGTTTATCTAAGGCTTATGATGTATTACTTTTTAAATATTGTTATTGATTTCAAAATAAAATATTTCAAGTAACAGAATTTCATATTTAAAAGCTTAAATATTTATTGAAATTAATAAATTGTTAACTAACTATATATAGAAAAGACAGTTTTAAAAAATTCTTTTTTCTTTTTAAAAAAAATATCTTTTTAGAATCGACGTAAAGATGTTATATTTAAAAAAAAACTTTTTACATAAAAATGTTCAGATACTTATGGTCAATCTGGCGAGATTATGGTCAATCTTGCTTTAAAAAAGATAAGGTTTCTATATATATATAAAGTACTTTTATATATAAAGTACATGGTTTCGTTCCTCTTTCCATACCAGCCATGTTTCTTTTTATAATTCTCATTGATTATAAAGAAAAGTGTTTTTTTCTCATACACCACATCATTGTGTTTGGCAACGCTGCCTGTTCTATTATAACGATTTATGGTACGATACATAAACATTTTATTCACTTTAAGGTGTTTGAGCTCACGAACAATAGTTGATTGTGATTTTCCAGCCAAGTATAACGCAATCACACTATAACGTTTGTATTCCACTTCGAGTAACTTTTGTTCTATAAAACTTGAATGCAAATACTTATGGTAGCTTGTAAACAACATAAATAGCTGACATTCGTATGAATTTCACGTCGTTGGCAATATCAATTTGACAGATATACCTGTGTGTAGTTGCTAACACCTGAATCGCCAAACCCTACAGTTAAGTTCAACATTGGAAAATGAAGTTTATTAGATTATAATTAACGTAAAGTGATTAAATAATAGAAGAAAAATTTTACTTGTGAAGTGTCATTAACTGAAGAATCAAAATGATAAACAAAAAAAAACGTAACGGAAAAAATTTAGTTGTTGATGAGAACTAAAAGCAGAGGTATAAGTAAAAAGGAAGTTGTCAACAACCTATATAATTAACGTTCACAAATTAAGAGAAATCGACTAGAAACAAACATAGCAGATGAAACACGGGAACAGAATGGTATGACCATTGAGGCAAATTTTGTTTGAGGAACTCATTTAGTCATTATAAAAATGTAGAACCATTTTAAATGGCGAAACATTTGCTCAACAATTCTCATGTACTTTAATATTTGTTAAAGAGTTTTCTAAATTATTATTTATAATTTATATATATTTAAATATTTAATATTTATAGGGTTATACGGTTATAGTACATTGAACTTAATTGCGGTTCAAACCCACAACTTTATGGATGCCAATTAGTTAATTTATTTATGGGATTTTACTTAGTTTCTCTTAATTGTTATAATTGTTAATTACTGTAGACTTTTCAATTTAGTACCTTGTTTTTTAATATTAATAATTAGAATTTTAAGTTAATCCAATAGAATTTTATTTAAATATATTTAATTAGTATTAATATAATTCCTATTTATTATTAATTTAACATTTATATATCAAAAAGATCAATTATGAATTATGAAATAATGAAGTATGTGTGAAAATATTTGTAAATAATGCAATTAACAGAATTTTCATTATTTTACGAAACTAACGTGCTTTGATTTAATTGATAAAAAATTTAATATTGCCATTACATATATTCTCAATAATGTTTTAAAAAATAATTTTGCTAGCAAATACAGAGAAAATGATTAAATTTAAATGATTAAATAAATAAATATTTAAGAAGGTTACTGACCTATTATCAATAGTAGCATTCAGTAGCATTCGTAAATGTAATGGTAAATAATTGTAATGCATTGCATCAAATAAT